ATGCCCCCTCAATTTCCTCCCTTTAATTAAGGAATTAATCGCAGCTTTAAATCTGAAATTTAATTTCAGATTTAAGGATTAATTCACTTAAGTAATTGGGGCCCACTTATTTGAATTCAAACCCCTCTCTCCTTCCCATGATTCCTTGCCATTAATGACTCCTTAATCACTCCCTGAATTTTAGTTAATTCAAATTCAACTGAGAGTGATTTAATCCAATCAATCCTAATTGGAAGTTATCAAGAAAGAAATCTGGACTTGCTGCATGGCTGAAATATTCACAACCTGAACTCCCGTATATTTTCCTCCATTAAATCTTTCCCGTAGCTGCTGAAGCTGAGCCCTGTTGGATTTATGTGGCTGTCCAAAGAGTTCTCCAACTGTTACAGAGTTTTCCCCAACATTAAGCTTGCTCTCCCACCCGTCTCCCTCTTAATATTTATTACCTGCTCTTTGGGAAAGAATTCCATAACCTGAGAATTTCAAAATCTGAGATGTTTCTAACTCCACGTAACAGCTCTAGGAATTAAATTCCCCACTTCATTCTCTATACATTAATCGCTCCCTCTTCATTCCCGTAACTCCCTCCTATCTTCCTGAATCTCCCTTCCAATCAACCTGCTTTGATTGGGGGCAATTAAGTGCAGTTATTTCCTTTGGACAGATTTCCAAAAGATGCTGCTGCTGGCCGAAAGCTTCCCAGGCCATCACGTGGGAATTCCTCCACTAGAAGCTCCCGTGAATTCACTTCCATAATTCTTGTTCCTACTAACCCTTTCCTCCCAACATTGATAGCTAAATTTTCTTCTCAGATTTCTGTTTGGAATCTGAAACAGTTTTCAAATTCTACAAGAGGAGTTTGGTGTTTGTTCTCCCTCCTCTTTCAAGCAAGAAATCTGATTTCTCTCAGATTTTGGGAGAGGTGATCCTCTCTTTTGCAACGCCTCCTTCCCGTTCTACATCACTTAACTTCGTAGAAGTAGGTATATCAAGCAATAAGAAGCCAAACCAGAGCTAAGCTTTCCTCTTGATAATAAAACCAACCAACAAAGGTGCCACGATTCGTCCTAGAGGCTCGTAATGTGGTGAGAACATATGGTTAGACAAATATTTAAAAATTTGTTTATTAACATTATAAATAATAAATTATTTCCAACATACTAAGAGAATCATTAAAACTCTAAATTTATTTAAGAAGAAATAATAAAATTATTGTTCCTATATATAAATACATCATAATTAGTTAATTTCTACTTTTTCATAGATAGTTTTTCACTCATTATTTTGTTGACCCCACATAGTAGGATAAAGACTTGTTGTTGTATCAGTCATTATTTTTATAATCATTAGATAATAATTCATAATAATAATTAGTATTTTCAATTAAAAAAATTAAAAATTTAAATTATCATTTAAATATCAACTTTTTGAATGAGAATTTTACTCTTAAAAAGGACACAATGGAGAAAAAGGATTCATGTTGCAGACCCTATGTAGTGGTATAAATGCTTCGTGTTGTTGTAGTATTTAAATTTCAACTTAATATTTTTTTTAATTAATTAATAATAAAAAATAAAGTTTCAATTATCTTCTACTCTTTTCCTTCCCTCTTAGAACTCTAATACTCAAATTTTTCTTCGAATAATAAAATGATAAATAAATTCATTATAAAAACCCTAACCTTCCCCGTGTTTCTTCACTTAGCTGTCATTGCTCATGTATTCCTCTCTTGTCGCCACAGGTTGCAATATGCTCATGCTGCTGGCCTCACACACCACTTTGTCATTGGCACTCATTTGTTTGTGCGTCCTCACATTGGCTTGCTCACGTCTCCATCCAGTTGCTTGCCTTACTCTCTCCCCCATGCATGCCGGTTAAAAGTGCCCATGATCTCCCTCTCCCTATCTCTCCTTTGCATTCGACTTTTTCTACTTCGACTACAATTCCTCTTCTAAGTTGTAACTTTAAAGACACGAAACCCTTTGTGTTTTTGTGACATGATGGACTATTTCACTTCCACTTTGACTATTTCCTCTCGCAGCCTCCGACACTGAAGCTGACTACAATTGGTTCAATTGAACTGACCATAGTCAGTTCATTCAATTTTTTTAGTTATTACAGTCTTCCTCTATCATAAAAATTTCATCCTAAAAAGTTTCAAATGTCTTATTGTTACAATATGTTATCATGTGATAAATTAAACATAACTACTCTCTACTTAGATATCATCTTAATTTCATTCAATATAAATTTTAATATTGAGTACAAATTCAGTAAAGCAAAGCATCTGATATAAAATAACAAATTGATATATATTAGATATTAATGACATCTCAAATAACTTTGTCAACATCAATTGATTCATCAAGCTCCTGTTGATAATTCCTAAAGAGCAATGCCTAATTGACTTATTTTCAAGTGGGAACTTTTAAAACATAGATGAGAGTTGCAAGATAGGCAAAAATTTAGAATAAAGGAGCAACAAAATAATGACACGAATTTGAAAAGCTTCGGATAAGGTTCGGACATTGTTTGAAGAAGACACAAATAATACTCAAACATGTTTGTAATATGTAATATAATGCTTAATGTCATTTTGGGTTTAGGGTTTAAGGTGCGAACAACATATTCAAGCCTCAACAACCAAAAGTATACATACCATTACTAACTTTGGATAGATGATGACCGAATATATGCGATTGTTGCTGTGAAGCTTTGTCGCAGATTGAAATAAAGAAGTTGCTTGGAAGATAAATGTTTGCCAGCTCCTTTGTTTGAAAGTGTAAGTCTTAAGTGTTTCAACACCCATTTTTTTATGCTTAGGGGTATTTTGATTCGAAATGAATTTTCAGATACATTTTTTCAAGAAAGCAAACAACACACATATTTGGTTAATTTTGACTGTTATGAGGTATGTAAAGTCAAAGTTCGCTTAATTTAGTCCATCAACTCACCAAAATTTAACCAAATTGGTCATATCGTCAACATTGCTATTTCTTTGGATAAAATATGTGGAAAGGAGCACTCCATGAGAATATTTTGGATTTTAGAATTAATCTTACTGCTTGGTACTAGTTTAACTAATGAGATTAAACCCCAAAAGTCTGAAATACCCTTGTAGGAAGTTTCCCTCTACTAGTTTCTATCAAAAAAAAAACAAAGTTGATAGTAGAGCCAAATTGAGAAAATGACCGAATTGCTCCCTGCTCCCTTGACTTTTTATGATGACCAAAATAGTCCCTGACTATATAAAACTACAAAATTTGTCCTTTGACTCTTTAAATAGGGACCAAATTTGTCATTTCATGGGATCATTTAAATCTCCATTTAGTTCATCGTAAAGAGCCGGGGACTATTTTGGTCCTTATCTAAGCCAAATTAGTTCAAATTTAATAATTTGGCCAAATTGAACATTTGCAAAAGTTGGGATCAAAATGAACCCAAAACAAAAGTCTATGAACCATTTTGCTCATTTACTCAAAATTTAACTAAAAATTATTCTTACCTCTTTTTAACCATGAAACCTTATAAAACTTGGATTTTATTTACATAAAAAAGATGGCTATAAGGAGAAACTAGAGTTTAATTGTAAATGATGTAGACGGAAGTTATTTGTTGATGTAGGCAAAGGGGGGGTGGGGGGTGGGGGGGTTCAACACAAGGGTTTAGCAAGCTCAATAATATTTTGAGCGGAATTTACCTGCATTATGAAGCTGGTCTTTAGTTCATTTATTTGAACTAAAGATTGTTCTTATTAGCTAAGTTTTTAAGTTCATTAGTTATCTTAATTAATATAACTTTTATTATAGTTTTTTATGTCTTAAATTTAAGTTGTCCCTTGGGATTCCAAAATGGCTTTTGGAATCCTAAGGATGTTTGTTTTCCCGTGCCTTGGCTTCCACGGTTGGCTGTTTCCGTGCATTGGCTCCTTGGTTCTCACGGTGGCTGCTATTTTTCCGAACTGGGGGCCTTCCCGTGGCTTTTGGCGCTTCGGTTCCGTGCGGTCTCTTTGGTTCTCGTGGCTGCTCCTTCGGTTCCCAGGCCGGGCTGTTTTCCCGTGAAAAGCAGGGGGCTTTTCCGTGGCTTGTGATGTTTGGATTCCTATGGGAATTCAATTAGTGTGGCTGTTTGTATTCCCCCTTTCATACCTATAAATATGAGGGGTTATGTAATGTTTTAGAGAGAGAGATGAATTTCTGGAAAACAAATCATTGGGATTTTCTTGGAGAAGCTTCCGAGCTTTGTCCACCTTCTTCCACCTCATTTGGAAATCTTGCGAGCTCTTTCCACCCTTATTCTCAGCTTCTAATCTCTTTCGTCTCTCCGCAAGTTTACACCCCACCTGTATCCTTCGTCTCTAAGTAAAGCAAGTTTAGGGTGTCTTGGTTGAGTCAAAAGTTGTAAGAGTCTTAATTTTTATTTGATTCAAATTAGTTTGTAAGTTTTTTTTATTTATAAAATTGTTCTTTTATTTGAAATGTAAGAGTTTGTTCGTTTAATTACGTAGGAGTCCTTTTCTTTTATCTAGTAAAGGCCACTTACCCTATTTTTGTGGGCGGAGGTCCTCGGGTCCCCCATCCCCCGGATTTTTGCCTGCATCATTTGTTGTTTTTTAATATGCTTCTATTGGTTGTAGTTTTGGCAATATTTTAGAAGAAAAGGAATCAGTGAGATATTTTGGGATTTTTTGAAGTTTTATTTATTGACTAGAAACCCTGCGAAGCATCATAAATTTTTGTTTTCATTGGGTTTTATTTTTCTTTATTTTTAGTAACTTTTAATTGATCCTGTTGGGTTTAAACATCTGGAGGAAATGCAAATGCTCGGCGTTTCTGTTTGATCATAGTTTATCTTCAACTATCATCCATGTTTAGATTCCAATAGAAAGATTTAAACTATGCAAAACATCTGTGCTGATGCTAAGCTCATATGGGTTTTTTATGAACTGGCATGTCATGTTCGTGTTGGATTACTAATTCACGGTAAATCCACCATTTCAGGGTTGCAGCAGAAGCATCCAGAATATTTGTCATATTAGAAGATATAAGGGCGCATACTTTGTCAAATTTACACAAAATACATAAAAGTTTGGCATTCTGGCAAGCTCGGGCAGTGGTTATTTCTAATTTTGGTTTATCATCTTTTCAATCTCTTCTTTCTAAATGTTGATCATAGCATGACAGGATTGCTTTTTTGATGCTTAACTTCTAGTTCCATATTTCTAATTTTTATATTTTTATTCAGGAAACAGACTATCAAAAGGTGTGGTTCATGGTTTTCAACAGAGGACCACGAGCCTTTATTTATGAATCATTTCAGATTATAAGAAAACTCGCCACATATGGGCATCCATTTCAGTCTATCACCCACTCTGCCGTTGATACAATATCTCTTAAAATTGCCATATTAACAACTCTACAACGTTGCTTGGCTACATTCCTCGCTCAGGTTTGCATAATTTTAAAATATTAGCATGCTTGATTTGTTCACGTTCTATTGAAATAATTCTCTTCTCTCTATTAAAATATGCTGTATATATTACTCTTTGAGTTGTCTATGCGTGATTGTGGAGATTGCAATTAAATAACTTTGACATCAGAATTCCTATGTTATCTTGTTTTTGCACTGAAATAGAAAATTCCGTTCTCTTTTGTCAGGTTTATTTAGAGGTCAACAAATTTGGTGAATTGTTAATTGCGGATCCAGATAAGTCATTACTGCCGTTATTGGCGGCCATTGATAACCTTTTCTGCAAGTTGGAAGCATCCATTAGTCATCCTAGCGAAATATACAATTTGGTATTTTTATAGTTGGGATTATGAGTCCTTGACTTATTTTGTAGGCTTATGATGCAGAACCTTGATATGCCACATTGTATTTGTATGTGCTTTACAACGAGCATTCAATGCTAATTCATTGGGTTCTATAAAATTTCAGAACAATGATTCACTTTCTATGGGAAGCGGCAACTCCTGTGCACTTCTTTTTGAGAAACTTCCAAACATGGAGCATGTAGAAACACATTGGACCGATACTGAAATAAGGGATTCCACTAGTTTGATTCATCAAAATCTTCAACGACTTGATTCCTATCTATCATTCATGGTAAGTATTTTGTCCTTTATTTTTATACGGAACTATTGTGGTAGAAACAGATCAGTAACCTTTCTATGTTATTAACTCGACAAACTGCCCTCTATTAGCTAAATTCATCCAGAGTTTTGTTACTGTTTCCCATGGGGAACCAATCAAGAAGTATTGTGGAAATTATTCTAGCAGACATTGAGAAATGTTGAGAGGATTAAGAACAAACAACATCAGGTCTTTCTCTAGAAGGAATTCTAATGAATTTTTCTCTTTTTCCTTGGGATATATCAATCAATTGAATCGTGTCTACATTTATGATCCTTAAACCTTCCCTAAGGAATCCGTTTCCAAAATCTTAATTTGTCATGTTTTATGTTTGACATATATTATCTCCAACATGTAAATTGCCTCGTAAAGTTTCACACCGTAACTCCATGCTACCATTACATCTAAGCAGATAAAATGAGTCAAGACGCAACATATGAGGGGAGCATTAATTAAATTTGGTTGGTACTATCCAACATTTTAAAAGGCGAAATCGGGAATCGAGGCGTTTTGGCTAAGCGAGGCGAGGCGTAAGCCTCGAGGCGGATCGAGGCGTAAGCCTCAAAAATTATAAAAATAAAGTAATTTAAAATTATGAATAATGATGAAAATGTCAAAAAATAACAAAATATTACATCAATTGTGAATTTGATGATTTGTTTTAAGATAATATTAATATATTACTGGAAAAGAAGATTTAAAGTAAACTCACTTAAAAATAAAACATCCCTTTAGGATCATGACCCAATGCAGGCTCATCATCACTTTGATTTTCTTCAGAAAAATCTTCATAATTAATGTCAAAGTCATCCTCAAACTCTTCTTCATCTATAATATTTTTTTCCTTTATCCCATATATCAGTTAATATTTCGTTAGCTCTAGAATGAAACAATAATAGCATAAAAAAATAATTCATTATATTTAAGAATACCTTTGAATTTTTTTGAAGCTCCAATCTCACTTTGTTTCTTTCTTTTATATATATATATGAGTAGTTGCTTCACTGTCAAAATTTTATTATAAGAGTAATTTTGAAATTTTGCTTGTTGTATATGCTCAGTACCGAGCATGTACCGCTCAGTACCGAACAAATATTACTGCTATATGTACAACGAGCATGTTACGCTTCATTCACGAGCATAACTATTGCTTCGATACTGAGCCGTGTACCTAGTGGTATCCAGAGCATGTGTACCGCTCAATATCCGAGCATATAATTACTCTGGTACCGAGTATATACCTAGCAGTACCGAAGCATGTACTGAGCGTATCGAGCATGTACTGAGCGGACGACTGAAAGAAAGCCGAATCAGGAGCAATGTTTAAAATTGCGTATTAGGGTAATTGAGGCGTTTTTCATTCGTGAGGCGAGGCGTAAGCCTCAAGGCGTTTTGCAGGCGTAAGCTCAAAATCAAAAGATTGCGTAAACATAAAATGTATAAATTTTTTATATCACTTAATGATTGAATAATATAATTAACATAAAAAAGCATAATGAATATTAAGTGAAATTTTCAAAATATCCCAATAATAAGACAACATGAAAATATAGTTCAACTCAAAATTCTATCATGTTTTCCTATAATTATTCCAGTATTCTTTCATTACAATAAATTCAAATTCCAAAAATAAATAACAATGACATATTCACATAAGAACTTTATTAAAGTCATCAGCACTGTATCACTAAGGGGGTTCTTCATTTGAATCATCAATTATGATAAATTGCTCTCTCCCCTTCCTCTCTCCTATAGAGTCCTCAATGTCGGGCATTTACTTCAAGATTTATGTAAGTTTTAATATATTATAGCGTGAGGCATAAATCTCATGCAGTGAGGCAAGGCGGGCCTCAACCAAGTTGAGGCGCAAGCCTCATAAAAAAAAAAACTTGAGGCGTAAGCATCGAGGCGTTTTTTACTGGAATTTGCGCAAAGGGCGGGCCTCAAGGCGAGCTCAATATTCGTCATATTTTAAACCATGATTCAGGAGTTATTCAAAGCTTTCATTACTGCACACTCAAAGTCAAGGCCACAACACCCGCTCACGCTGCTCCTTTCCGACCTAACCCTAGGCCTGAACGTTTCGTGCACTCACAACTTTCGGCTTCATTTCCTTGCTTTCTGAAAATCGTTATTTGCTTTTGAATTCGTTTCCTGAGTCGTCTCCTTCTGTACTTCGTCTCCTGCACTCACGGCTTTCGTCTCTTTCCCTCACGGCTTCGCCTCTAATTCGCCTTTCAATTCTCACAGGAAGCCCTAATTCCTATATGCGAATACACGAAATTTCGAATATTATCGGCTAACGTTTGCGAATCATTTTTATTATAATATTACCGAAGAAAAAATTTCGAGGCGGTGCCTCATACTGCCTCGAGGCGTTACACTCTAATGCGTACGCCTTGTGCGAAAAAATTATAGACTTCGCTGGATGGTTCAAGGCGTAAGCCCTGATACGCATGATTTCCGCCTCGACTTGAGGCGTGACTCAATGCGGACGCCTCGTCCGCTTTTTTAATGGTTGGTACTATCAAATGCTTAACATTCTATATACTAGCTCCCCTCAAATACCAGCATCGATTTGGAAAGATATTATAATCCCATTTAGATTTCCCGCACAGCCACTGTTATGCATTATAGAATAATATTATAATAGTGCCGAACAAAGGAAACTTATACCTTGAATGGCATGATTTCACTATTTACATCAAAAGATTTATTTGCAACGTTTATGATCATATATTAGTATACATCATCAAAAACTCAAAAAATCATGTCTTCAACAAGGTATCTTCCCATAACTAAAACAATGACTTCTAATTGATAACCTGCTATAGCTTAGTCTCTACTATGGTTCCGATCCTTCCATAAAATCAAAAAGATCCACAACTACAATAGGGTGAGTAATAATCCCAGTAACTTTCACAAGTTTACCAGAAAATTCTATAGATGGAAAGAACCAACATACATGTATTTTATAACTGTAAAACATGACAACATTGTATATACATAACATTAATTGGGATGCAAGTATGTTAGTAAACAGATATAACATGTATGTTTCTTGAAATCTTTTATGTGCCTAAGTCATGCATCGGAAATAATGATCATTCATCAATATAACAGGTTAACCATTTAACGTCATTTACAATTAAAGATTTAACTTAAAAAAATTATTGCATTAATTGATCTTCACTTACCAAGAACAATTATTAATATTTTCATGATTCATTGATATCACACTATTAAGAGTAATATCTGTATTTATGGTTATCATAGACATTACATATTTATTCTCAGTGACCAAGTCGTATGACTTGCTCTCTATGATGCACGGACACAGACACGACGACACGGACACGACACGACACGGACACGGGACACGGCTTTTTTTGAAATTATAGGACACGGGTACGGCACGGACACGACAATATATTTTTTATATAGTGTATATATGTACATTTCAAGATACAGGCCTTCTATCAGCACTCCTTCCATGGGGGTTTAAGCACATGGCAGGGGTCTAGTTGGCACTAGCACTAGCTAGCTCCCTTGCATAAGTTAGGGTTCACATTTTATTATCGAATGCATTTAACTTTTTCAAGTCAAGGCAAGGGTCATCTTACTATGCCAACTAATGATTGTTCATATAAACTTCTTATATGCTCGCTAAATTCGTATACTATTCATGACCAAAACTTGTAATTTGCTCTCCTGCTAAACTATGTTAAGTTGGCACATACTTAAAAGACACTGAATGCTGGGGGAAATGCTAAATTGTTAACTTAAAATGGTGGAGAACGTATGAAGAATAGAAAATTTTATCAATACTTATTGATGGGGAAATTTCAAATGCTATATGATTTGTAGAAATTATAGTAATGCTTATAAATGATGCTAATAGAGATTTATGCCATAGTTTGAGATAGATCTGTATTACAAATTGGTCAAATCTAGCTACTGAAATACAAAAAATGACTGGATCTAACTAAATAAGTGAAGATTTTAACCAAATTTTATGAAGATCACAGTAAGATGGGTTTTACCTTCGATATGGTCACCCTTCCCATTAAAGCATCATAAATATGCGCTAAAATCAAATATCCAAGTTGACTCATTTTGACAGTTCTCGCCCAAAATATTAGTGAATAATAAAATAAGAGCAGCCTTTTTATAGTATATGATTTGGTGGGGAAGCCATAATGAGAAAAGTGACATGGTATCCCTAATAATACACAAGGTTTAAAATTGCGTAACTGCGCCTCGAGGCGTTTTTTGTCCGTGAGGCGAGGCGTAAGCCTGGAGGCGGTCTGAGGCGTAAGCCTCACGAACACAGAATTGCGTAAATGAAAAATTAAGGATTTTAGCAGGAAAATAATAGCAATAGTGGAAAATAAGAAAGTAGATGCAATAAAATTATATCCCAAAGTACAAAATCACAAAATATTAGTTTAACAAAACTCCCAAAATACAAAAAAACATATAAAATGAAATCATATCCCATCACAAAATATCAGTCTTCAAGTGAATCTTCTTCTCCAATTGTATCTATGAATGCCATGTCATCTCGTTTGATCAATAATTATGTCACTCGAGATGCGAGCATCGTATCTCTCATAGTGTTCCGTTCGTCGGGCCAATCGTGGTCCCTGGTCTACTTAGTCAGAGGAGGTAGTTGACCCAACTGACAGAATGGATACCTTGTCGGCAAGCCTATGGGTTGCTTCGTCCAAGGGACCTTGTAGACCGGGGTTGAATGTTTGTCTAAGGGGGACAAATTTAAATCCACCTTAGCTAAACAGAGGGCTTGTGCCCTATCGATCATATCCATTGATTCATATCTCAAGGATTTAACGTCATTAAGGAGCGTATTGACCTCTGGCCATAACCGCTTCTGTGGTGCCATTTGGGCGAAACCATCTCGTTCAGAGGCCCCGGGTATAACCGTTTACCTGCAGTGCCATTTGCGGCGAAAC